AAGTGCTGGGATTACAGGCGTGTGCCACTGCTCCTGGCCATGAGATGTATTTTTAAATGTTGGTCTCGGTACAATATTTGCTTCTAGCATGACTAAAGTTACTTAAATGACACTAAGTTTATTGTGTATTCTGTATAATACAAACATGCACAGTGTCTGTAATAATGCTTTCCTCAGTTTCTTTTCACGGATTTTGTAGGCCCTTACCTCATGGTATTCGATCGGATTTAGAAGATATCTGTTTATTTACGAAGGACGAACCCAATTCAACTCCTGAAAAGACAGAACAGTTCTATAGAAAGCTTTTAAACAAGCATGGAATTAAAACCATTTCTCAGGTAGGAAGCCTGGTTAATATTTCCAAGTTATTTAGAGGATTTAATTCAATTGAAACTATGTCACAAATACATTACTATATTTCCTAGTATTTTTCTTCTACTTTTCTGTCTTTAATTTAATTTGTGGTGGTGTGTACATCAGTAGCTTTTATATCTTGCAAGTTATAAAAGGGTGGCTCATGTCATTCCTTTTGGAGCATCTTGTTTTTCTCTGATTCACTGTTTTGTAGTTGATGTACTTACCTTTTTTACTCTCTGGATGTAAGGGATCTAAGTTTTTTTGTGTGTGTGAGATGGAATTTTACTCTGTCTCCCAGGCTGGAGTGGAATGGTGCGATCTTAGCTCACTGCATCTTCCACCTCCCGGGTTCAAGCAGTTCTCCCTCTTCAGCCTCCCAAATAGCTGGGGTTACAGGCACATGTCATCATGCTAAGCTAATTTTTATATTTTTGTAGAGACGAGGTTTCACCATGTTGGCTAGTCTGGTCTTGAATGCCTGATCCCAGGTGATCATCTCACCTTGGCTTCCCAAAGTGCTGGCATTACAGGCGTGAACCACTACACCTGGCCTGGATCTAAGTTTCTTTAGCTGGGGTCCTTTCTTATTTATCTCAGTGTTCCCAGCATGTAGCATAGTGCCTAGCACATTTTAGGCATTCACATGTTCAGTAAAGTATGAGAGGAATGGCTCTGGGACTTTTTTTTTTTTTTTTTTTTTTGAGATGGAGTTTCACTGTTGTTACCCAGACTGGAGTGCAATGGCATGATCTTGGCTCACCACAACCTCCGCCTCAATTCTTCTGCCTCAGCCTCCCGAGTACCTGGGACTACAAGCATGCACCACCATGCCCAGCTAATTTTTGTATTTTTATAGAGACAGGGTTTCTCTTTGTTGACCAGGATGGTCTCGATCTCTTGACCTCATGATCCACCCACCTCGGCCTCCCAAAGTGCTGGGATTATAGGCGTGAGCCACCGCGCCTGGCTTGGCTCTGGGACATTTTTAAATACAAATATAAATTGTTGCATAAGTATTTCTTCTTGTTTACGTTCCTAACTTTTTGTTTTTATTCTCTATGCTTCTTAGATTATCCCCTTCCAAACTCTAAAGAAGGAATATAAACCCTTTGAAGCCAAGCTCCGCCTTCTGAGCACTTTTGACTTCTTCCTTACTGATGCCAGAATTAGGCGGCTCTTACCCTCACTCATTGGGAGACATTTCTATCAAAGAAAGAAGTAAGTTTCTTAGTAATAAATGGACTTTAGCAGCTTGAAATTTCTAGGTATGTTGTATGCATTGTATTCTGAATGCCTGTGTTTTTTATAGAGTTCCAGTATCTGTAAACCTTCTGTCCAAGAATTTATCAAGAGAGATCAATGACTGTATAGGTGGAACAGTCTTAAACATTTCTAAAAGTGGTTCTTGCAGGTAGGTAAAAGGCATTCATGTGTGCCTCCTTCAACCTTGTATTTGACAATGATTTTATATACTTTTTAAAAAGATTTTGTTAATGGTACCAGATCCCTTTTTAAAACTAAAATCTATTCCTTAGAAGTGATCAATTCTCAGGCCACGTGCAGTGGCTCATGCCTATAATCCCAGCACTTTGGGAGGCTGAGGCAGGAGGATCACTTGAGCCCAGGAATTGAAGACCAGTTTGGGCAACATAGACGCCCTTCTCTACAAAAAAATCAAGAACATTAGCCAAGTGTGCTGTTGCACCCCTGTGGTCTCAGCTACACAGCAGGCTGAGGCAGGAGGTTAAGGCTGCAGTGAGCCCTGGTCTTGTCACTGCCCTCTAGCCTGAAAGACAGAGCAAGACTGTCCTTAAATGAGTGTAATCTGTTGAACTTTGCTGTGTTCTAGAACAATGCTGTCTGATAGAATGTTCCACTGTGATGGAAATGGTCTGCATCTGTGCTGTCTCACACAGTAGGCACTAGTTGTATGTAGCTTTTGAACAAGTGTAATGTGACTACTGTGTTAAGGACTGAATTTGTAATTACTTTAAAGTAGGCAAATATAGCTAGTGGCTGAAGGTCACTGCACTGGACAGGACAGCTCCAGATGCTAAGGAAAGCAAGGAGAGTAAGATGAATGCTTAGAGAACATGAGTAGTTTTGGGCTTTCAGCTTGTGCTTTATTTATTTGCCATTGCACTCAGTGGTGCAGTTGTACCCTCCAACTCCTTGGGTCAAGCAGTCCTCCCACTTCAGCCTCCTGAGTAACTGGAACTACAGGCACATGCCACCATACCTGCCTAAGTTTTTAATGTTTTGTAGAGGCAGGGTCTCACTACATTGTCCCTTCTGGACTTGAACCCCTAGACAAAACCAGTCCTCCCATCCTGGTCTCCAAAAGTGTTGATTATAGGTGTGAGCCACTATACCTGGCCTCAGATTGTCCTTTAAAAGCACCGTATTACTCCTTAAAGTGAAGATCCGCCTCATTCTTGGTTTAATTTCCTATTAAGTGAATTCAGCATTTATTCTGTTCATCTGTCTGTTTGCTATCTGTGTTGTCACATTCATTTAACCTTACCCAGGATACTGAGCTAGGCGAAGCCCCCACACCTAGCCTTTCTTACTAGAACAGGCGTTTTAGGTTAGTGATTGCTTCCGACCTTTGGGTGAGCAGAGGATATGGCTTAGGCTATTTTATTAGGCTGTGAAGTGGGTTAATTTTGTATGCTTGGCCGTATACCATCTTGGAGAGGTAGGGCAAGTTTTAAATGTATTGAAAATATGTTTTATGAAGTAGTTCACCTGCTGACTGCGGTGTGGAGCTGGGTAGCTGCCAGAAGGGCAGAGCTCTAGGGCACTGCCCTTCCACCCAGAGATACCCAGGAGCCCATCATGCATAAACATGGTCACACACAGCAGAAAATGGAACCACAGAGACTTCTTGCCTCTGCTTACTAGGCAGGCCTGACCCCAGCGTAGTGTCTTCAGGTAGAGCAGAGAAGGGTGCAGGGTGGGCAGGACAGGTGGTCTCTGGTGTCTTCTGCCTGCTGCTGGGAAGCCCTTAATCGGGTGTAATGAAGTAGCCGAGAAGCATTGGTCATTGGGCCTGGACCCCTACTCCTTTGCTTAAAGGCTGATGTGAAAATAGTGGCTCGTAGAAGTGGTTGACTAGAAGGTCAGACTTTGTTTATGGGACCCATGAATATCTGGGAGAAGGGTATGGTACCCCGGAGGCAGGTAAAGGAGCATCAGTCTCCTGCCACTGGGGATTTTCCAAGGCAAAAGCAACAGCTTAAAGAAAGTTGCAGACAACTGAGAAAAAAATCGTTCTTTCATTTCCTCTCTTACCTTTCCCCAGCATAATAATTTATTTTCCTCCTCCACTTCTGTTATTCCCCCTTCCTCCTTCATCACCATCTTTCCATCTGGGACACCCAGGTGTGCTCGCAGGCAGGTGGTAACAGGCTCAGGGAGTGGGCACTGCCTAGTTTTTGGCTGCAGAGAGAGAGGAGCAACAGCTGGTCTCATCCTCATTCAGACATTGTGCCAACAGTGAGCCTCCCTTCTGGCTCACTTCATTTTGGCACCAGCGCTGAGCACTGAGCCCTCCAGGCTTTCCACTTGGCTTCTTGCCTGCACTCTGCTTCACCTGAAGGGATGGTCTTGCTCTTAGCCAAAAGACACTATTCCACCAGGGACAAGAACTATTTATTCTTGAGTGGAGCAGTAGAACTAGAGAGAGCAGGTGACCCTCCTGGAGGTAGGTCTCCTCAGAACAGCTTGACGGTGGACTCAGTGACCTGCGGTTGTCTAAGATAAAGATAGAAACTCTTCTGGCTCAGCCTCCTGGTACTCCTAGCCTCACATTTAGGTGCTACTAGCTCTTTAATCACTCCGTCAGCTGGCCATAGTGGCTCACACCTGTAATCTCAGCACTTTGGGAGGCCACGGTGGGTGGATCATTTGAGGTCAAGTGTTCAAGACCAGTGTGGCCAACATTATGAAACCCCATCTCTACTAAAAATACACAAATTAGCTCTGTGTGGTGGCTTGTGACTGTAATCTCAGGTACTAGGGAGACTGAGGCAGGAGATTCGCTTGAACCCAGGAGGCAGAGGTTGCAGTGGGCTGAGATCTCACCACTGCACTTCAGCCTGGCGACAGAGCAAGACTCCATTTCAAAAAAAAATCACCCCCTGATGATGTGACATTTTATTTAAGGTAGAAGGAATTTCTAGAATATGAAAGATGACAATATATATTTAGGTCAGGCATGGTGGCTTATGCCTGCAATCCCAGCACTTTGGGAGGCCAAGGCAGGAGGATCACTTGAGCCGAGGAGTTCAAGACTAGCCTGGTGGATCACTTGAGCTCATGAGTGAGAACCCATCCCTACAAAAAATACAAAAATCACCTGGGTGTCCTGTAGACCTAGCTACTCTAGAGGCTGAGGTGGGAGGATTGCTTAAGCCCAGGATGTTGACTGTGCCACTGCACTTCAGCCTGAGCGACAGAAAAAAACCCTGTCTCCAAAATGAAATAAAGTATATTGAGAACCTAAAGGTTTTGGCCGGGCGCGGTGGCTCAAGCTTGTAATCCCAGCACTTTGGGAGGCCAAGGTGGGTAGATCACGAGGTCAAGACATCGAGACCATCCTGGTCAACATGGTGAAACCCCATCTCTACTAAAAATACAAAAAATTAGCTGGGCACGGTGGCGTGTGCCTGTAATCCCAGCTACTCAGGAGGCTGAGGCAGGAGAATTGCCTGAACCCAGGAGGCAGAGGTTGCGATGAGCTGGGATCGCGCCATTGCACTCCAGCCTGGGTAACAAGAGCGAAACTCCCTCTCAAAAAAAAAAATAAAAGAGAACCTAAAGGTTTTAATGGTTTGTTTTTTGTTTTTCAGACTGTTTTGCTCTGTTGTTACCCAGGCTGGAGTGCAGTAGGCAGATCTGGGCTCGCTGCAGTCTTGAGCTCCTGGACGCAGGTGACTTTTCTGCCTCAGCCTCCTTAATAACTGGGATTATAGGCATGTACCATCATGCCCAGTTAATATTTGTTAGTGTGGTAGAGACAAGGTTTTACCATGTTGCCCAGGCTTAATGTATCTACCTTAAAAAAAAAAAAAGAACTTGAGGATTATGTATTTATATTTTTCATATGCCTGCCTGATTTTGAAAAAATGGTTTTTAAAAATCTTTTCTAATACTGTATTAAATTTCAGTGCTATACGCGTTGGTCATGTTGGAATGCAGATTGAGCACATCATTGAAAACATTGTTGCTGTCACCAAAGGACTTTCAGAAAAATTGCCAGAGGTACAGTATTGCAGGTGCATCCATTGATTGTTCATTTAAAAGAAACAAAGCATATATAGATGATGTTACTGTTTCCTTTGTTTCAGAAGTGGGAGAGCGTGAAACTCCTGTTTGTGAAAACTGAGAAATCGGCTGCTCTTCCCATCTTTTCCTCGTTCGTCAGCAATTGGGATGAAGCCACCAAAAAATCTATGCTTAATAAGAAGAAAAAAGTTAGTAGAATTTAAAATACTCACAGGATGAATAATCAAGGCGGTAAACTCAGTGCCTGGGAGAAGGAAGTAGACTGTCATCCCTGCTCGACTTTTCTGTTATCTTTTTCTGGTTTTCTGGTGGTTGTCCTTTTATGTTCATGGTTCCCACTTTATATGAGGTAGTTGATATTAGTATCAGTAATTCACGTTAAGATTTATTGATAAATTGGATGTTTTTGAAATTTTTGTTAGATCCCGTGCTTGCTGGTTTTTTTAGAGAGATAGGGTCTGGCTCTGTCCCTCAGGCTGGAGCACAGTGGCGCCATCAAGGCTCACTGCAGCCTTGACCTCCTGGGCTCAAGTGATCCTGTGTCAACCTCCCGAGTAGCTGGGACTACAGGCATGCTCCACCACACCCACCTAATGTTTTAATTTTTTTGTACAGTCATGTTCTTCCTATATTTCCCAAGCTGATCTTGAACTCTTGGGCTCAAGTGATCCACCTGCCTCTGCCTCCCAAAGTGCTGAGATTACAGGCATCAGCGGCTGTGCCCAGCCTGGGTTAACTGGCTTTTGAGAGGGCCTCAGTTAAGTTCCTATCACATATTTCCAGTCATAGAAACATCACCTTACTTCTAAATAAAGACCAAAACACTTAACAATATTAAACATTGAAATAAATGTGAGCTATTTATACTTTCGAGGCAGTAACAAAAGCAATAGAGATAATTACCCAGTCCATCCAGGGTTTTAGGTACCTGGAGCTTAATCCTGACAACTCAGGGAAAAGGGTGACAGGCAAGAGCCAACCCTAGGAAAGAAAAGACACAATTTCATCACAGGACACACGCATATACCCACATTCACTGGGACTGTGACTAGGATAATTTTAACACACCAGTTCACCTAATGTTCACATATTGGGGTTTGGGAGGGTATGCTGACTGACACCTCCTGAGGTTGGTTTGTAGGTTTTCAGTATTACTAATACTCGAGCAAAAGAAGCTTTCGGAAGGAAAAAAAAAAATCAGTTTTGGCTGAGCACAGTGGCTCATGCCAGCACTTTGGGAGGCCAGGCAGGCCAGATCATGAGGTCGAGAGATCGAGACCATCCTGGCCTGTGTGATGAAACTCCATCTCTGCTAAAAATACAAAATTAGCTGGGCATGGTGGCATGTGCCTGTAGTCCCAGTTACTTGAGGCAGGATAATCGCTTGAACCCGGGAGGCGGAGGTTGCGGTGAGCTTAGATGGTGCCACTACACTCCAGCCTGGGCAACAGAGTGAGACTTTTTATCTCCAAAAAAAAAATTTAATTTTTTGCTAGTTGTTAGACTGATCTAGGGTTTCTCTCTTCAGCCATGTTAATTGTGTCCAACAAAGTTGTAATTTTGTTTTTGAGACAGTTTTGCTGTCTCCTGGACTGGAGTGCAGTGGCATGATCTCAGCTCACTACAACCTCCACCTTCCAGGTTCGAATGATTGTGCGTCCACCTCCTGAATAGTTGGGACTATAGGCACATATCACCGTGCCCAGCTGATTTTGTGCTTTTACTAATGCGGTTTCACCATGTTGGCTAGGCTGGTCTGAAAGTTCTGACCTCAAGTGATCCTCCTGCCTCAGCCTCGCAAAGTTCTGGGATTACAGGCATGGGCCACCGCATCCAGCCAAGGATTTTTCTTTTTCTTTTTTTTTTTTGACAGTCTTCCTTGGTTGCCCAGGCTGGAGTACAGTGGCATGATCTCCACTCACCGCAACCTCTGCTTCCTAGGTTCAAGCAATTCTCCTGCCTCAGCATCCAGAGTATCTGGGATTATAGGAGCGTGCCACCATCCCCGGCTAACTTTTTGTATTTTTAGTAGAGATGGGGTTTTGCCACGTTGGCTAGGCTCGTTTCAAAGTCCTGACCTTGTGATCCACCCACATTGGCCTCCCAAAGTGCTGGGATTACAGGCGTGGGCCACCGCGCCCTGCTGGATTATTCTTACTTTGAGACGGAGTTTCACTCCTGTTGCCTAGGCTGGAGTGCAATGGCCCCATCTTAGTTTGCCGCAACTGCCGCCTGTGGGTGTTCAAGCAATTCTCCTGCCTCAGCCTCCCAAGTAGCTGGGATTACAGGCATGTGCCACCATAACCAGCTAATCTTGTATTGTTAGTAGAGACAGGGTTTCTCCATGTTGGTCAGGCTGGTCTCAAACTCCTGACCTCAGTGCTGGAATTACAGGCATGAACCACAGCACCCAGCCCGATTATTATTATATTTTTGGAGATGGAGGTTCTCTCTCATTGCCCAGGCTGGAGTGCAATGGCACAATCTCAGCTCACTGCAACTTCTACCTCCTGGGTTCAGGCAATGCTCCTGCCTCAGCCTCCTGAGTAGCTGGGACTACAGGCGTGTGCAACCATGCCCAGCTAGTTTTTTTGTATTTTTAGTAGAGACGGGGTTTCACCATGTTAACCAGGATGGTCTCGATCTTTTGACCTCGCGATCCACCCAGTTCGGCCTCCCAAAGTGCTGGGATTATAGGCGTGAGCCACCATGCCCGGCCGGATTATTCTTTATACTCTCTAAACTGTACTGTGTTTCAGAAAAATCTCTAAACTGTATACTTTAGATAGCCAGATTCAAAAATACAAATGTATAATTTACTGCATAAAATTCATATTTGACTGTGAGTCAAAAACTGTGGTTGAGGTTCCAGTGCTGATAAGGGAGTTTGTTCTCTATACAGATAAAGGTCCATTCATGGAGTTATGGATAATCAGAACTGCAAGTGGTGAATCTATGCCATTTGTTAACCAATAGAAGTGTTCCTGCTAAAACTTTTTATGATGTGTTTTGCCAGGAGGCAAGGAAAAAACGAAGAGAAAGAAATCATGAAAAACAAAAGGAGAGGAACAAAATCAGAAAGAAGAAACAGGCTAGCAAGGCTGCATCAGTCCTTAGTAAAGACACCGTGACACCTGAAGGTGGTGACGCTACAGTGGAGAAACCTGAATTGAAGAAGGAGCAGACCCCAGGACATGGGAAGAAAAAGCGTGGCAAAGGAAAAGCTCAAGTTCAAGTGGCAAATGACTCCGAAGATGAAATTCCGCAGCTGGTACCAATAGGAAAGACTCCAGCTAAGGAGAATGTAGAGGTATTGTTTTTAATATTGAATATTCATAATGGATTGGTTCAGTGGCTACTTTTAGGCAGGCACTGTGCTGAGCAGTGAATGCTGAAAAATACTGGAACAACTATGAAGGTAGTTATCATCTCATGATTTACTGTCTTTTTTTTTTGAGATGGGGTCTTGCTATATTGCCCAGGCTGGTCTTAAACTCCCAGGCTCTAGCAATCTTCTCACCTTGGCCTCCCAAAATGCTGGGATTACAAGTGGGAGCCACCGCACCTGGCCCCAACTGGTTGGTTGTTGTTGTTGTTAAGATGGAGTCTCACTGTCACCCAGGATGAAGGTGGCATGATCTCAGCTCACTGCAACCTTCACCTCCCTGGTTCAAGCAGTTCTTCTTCCTCAGCCACCCGAGTAGGTGGGATTACTAGTGTGCATCACCACACCCACCTTATGTTTGTGTTTTTGGTAGAGCCAGGGTTTTGCCATGTTGGCTAGGCTGGTCCTGAACTCCTGGCCTCAGGTAATTTGGCCTCCCAGAGTACTGGGATTACAGGGGTAAGCCACCACGCCTTGCCCCCAGTTGGCTTTTACACAGAAAATTTGGGAACCCCTGCCCTAAACCATGTGCCAGGGATGTACAGCTACATTTGGAAGAGTCTGAGTTTGCTCCCAGGTGCCTCCAGAAGTCCTTCCCATCAGACATAGGTTATAGGGAAAGGTGTTTTTCCTCTGAGAACCAGGAAGACCTCTGGGTGTTCTTTTTTTTTTTTTTTTTTTTTGAGATGGAGTTTTTTTTTTTTTTTTTTGAGATGGAGTTTCGCTCTTGTTACCCAGGCTGGAATGCAATGGCGCGATCTCAGCTCACCTCAACCTCCACTTCCTGGGTTCAGGCAAATCTCCTGCCTCAGCCTCCTGAGTAGCTGGGATTACAGGCATGAGCCACCACACCTATCCCTCATTCTTTTTTTTTTTTTTTTTTTTTTTTTTTTTTGAGAAGGAGTTTGGCTCTTGTTGCCCAGGCTGAACTGCAATGGCACAATCTCCACTGACTGCAACTTTTGTCTCCCAGGTTCAAGTGATTCTCCTGCCTCACTCAGTCTCCTGAGTAGCTGGGATTACAGGTGCCCACCACCACGCCTGGCTAATTTTGTTTTGTTTTGTTTTGTTTTGTTTTTTAAGCCTACAGAACCCGGTATTCCTAGGTGATCTCTCATCCAAGTACTAACCAGGCCTGACCCTGCTTAGCTTCTGAGATCAGACGAGATCGGGCGCGTTCTGTGTGGTATACCTGTAGACTAATTTTTGTGTTTTTAGTAGAGACAGGGTTTTATTATGTTGGCCAGGCTGGTCTCGAACTCCTGGCCTCAAGTGATCCGCCTGCCTTGGCCTCCCAAAGTGCTGGGATTACAAGTGTGAACCACTGCACCCAGCCTCCCTCATTCTTTTTTTCTTTTTTTTTTTTTTTTTTAATTTTTTTATTTTTGGAAGTACTGTTGTTTGTAGCCTCTCTCATTCTTAATGGTGGAATACAGCTCATCTCTGTCATCATGCTGAGGTGTATACCTTTTGGGTGTTAACTAATGAAAACAGTAACTCCTAGAATTAGTGTCAGGTTCTGTGGTCTTTTTCTATATTATACTTTCTTCTTCCCAGATTCAAAAACATGCCACAGGAAAGAAGTCTCCAAAAAAGAGCCCTATTCCCAGCACACCTCGTGGGAAGAAAAGAAAGGCCTTGCCAGCATCTGAGACCCCAAAAGCTGCAGAATCTGAGACCCCAGGGAAAGGCCCACAGAAGAAGCCAAAAATCAAAGAAGAGGCAGTGAAGGAAAAAAATCCTTCGCTGGGGAAAAAAGATGTGAGACAGACTCCTAAAAAGCCAGAGGCCAAGTTCTTCACCACTCCTAGTAAATCTGCAAGAAAAACTTCCCACACCCCCAAAAAACGGCCCAAAAAAACCAAAGTACCCCTGTCAACCTAAAGTCAGATTCAACCAGAAGGGAACCTCAGAGCTTATTAGAAACACTCAAGTCCTGACCCCATTGGCATCCTTCTCCTAGTGTCAGGCCTAGACTTAAAGATTTTTTAAAAACTTCCATAGGTAATTCTGACGTTATGTTCCTGGGTATAGTAATCTATTTTTAAATTGTCCTTCTGTGTGTTTGCTAACATAATAGAAGAAATATAGAGTGCTTCTCCATGGTTGTTCAGCACTTTGGGAAGACAAGTTGGGAGTATTATTTGAGCCCAGGAGTTTCAGACCAACCTGGGCAATATGTGAAATTCCATTTCTACAAAAGGAAAAAAGATGGTGGCATGTACCTGTGCTACTCAGGAGGCTGAGGTGTAAAGATCAAGGTGAGCACAAGAAGTCAAGGCTGCAGTGAGCCATGATCACACCACTGTGCTCCAGCCTGGGTGACAGTGTGAGACTTGTCTCAGAAAAAAAAAATAAAGTTTAACATTGCTTTGCTTCTGAGTATACATACTGGTGGCTTTCTGCATCATGTGAGTCTGACTCGAGGTCTCTGATGTGACCCTTTTCCTCATCTACTCAACCATCACATGGACTCCATCACACTCCTTTGTCTTCATTCCCAAAGTGGCCCAGTGAGAGCCTTGATGGATAAGAATCAGCTGCTGAATTTAGGAGAAACACGAGTTTCTTGGCCCTCATGCTGAGCTTGTTGGTCTAAGCTTGAGTCACTGCATGAGCATGCATATGGGAAGGGAAATTAACATGGAGTCATTTATACAGCTACTGAATATACCTACAGGAGGCAAGAACATGATTTATCTTCCCTTCCCCTCTTCCACGTTACTCCTCAGTCCATACATGTAGATTTGCTTATGTATGATAACGCTAAGGAAACTTGGGAGAGTAGACTTTTTTTTTTTGGAGGCAGAATTTCACTCTTGTTGCCCAGGCTGGAGTTCAATGGTGCAATCTCAGCTCACCACAACCTCTGCCTCCTGGGTTCAAATGATTCTCCTGCTTCAGTCTCCCAAGTAGCTGGGATTATAGGCATGCACCTCCATTCCCAGCTAATTTTGTGTTTTTAGTAGAGATGGGGTTTTTCCGTGTTGGTCAGGCTGGTCTCGAACTTGACCTCAGGAGATGTGCCCTCTCCCAAAGTGCTGGGATTACAGGCATGAGCCACCCTGTCCAGTCAAGAGTAGACTATTATTGTTTGCACAATTGTCAAGTATATTCTGAGGCAGTGAACTTTTAGGTACTAATCCTTTCACTGCATGTGAATAGGTATGCATCTATAGTAAGTTATAGATTGACTGCAGTGCAGGAATATGCTTGAATGCAAAAGGCTGAAGTGGGGCATCATGTGGGTGCTGGGTGTCTGGCTCACATCTGTGTTCTGAGCACTTTGGGAGGCTGGTGGATTGCTTGACCCCCAGAGTTTGAGACCATCCTGGGCAACATGGAAAACCTCATCTCTACCAAGAATTAGCTGGGTGTGGTGGCATGTGCCTGTGGTCCCAGCTACTTGGGAGGATGAGATGGGAGGATTGCTTGAACCCCAGGTGGTAAAGGCTGTAGTGAGTCATGGTTATGACCCTGCACTCCATTCTGGGCAAGAAAGAGAATCCTGGCCCCGTTTCCAAAAAACGATGTTCGGCATGATGGCTTGCATCTGTAATCCCAGCCAAGGCAGGCAGATCATTTGAGGCCAGGATTTCCAAGACCAGCCTGGCTAACATGGTAAAATACAAAAACTAGCTAGGCATGGGGCAGGTACCTGTAATCCCAGCTACTTGGGAGGCTGAAGCAGGAGAATCAGTTGAACCCAGGAGTTGGAGGTTGCAGTGAGCTGAGACTGCACCACTGCATTCCAGCCTGGGCAGCAGAGCAAAACTGGAAAAAAAAAAAAAACAGTTACGTAGGTCTCCCACAAGTTAGAGGAGTCTGGGCAGTGGGGGAGATGGTCCTACTCTTGCCCAGGCTGGAGTGCAATAGTGCCATCAGCTCCAGTCTCAATTTTGTAGGCTCTAGGCAATCCTCCCACCTCAGCCTCCCAAGTAGCTGTAACTACCGGGGCATGCCATCACACCTGGCCAATTTTTATATCTTTTGTAGAGACAGGTTTTGCCTATATTCCCCAGGCTGGTCTCAAACTCCTGGGCTCAAGTGACCCTCCCACCTCAGCCTCCCCAAAATGCTCAGATTACAGCCATGAGGCACCATGCCAACCAGCTTTTGCCTTTTTTTTTTTTTTTTTTTTTTTTTTGAGATTGAGTCTTGCTCTGTCACCAGACAAGTGCAGTGGCGCAATCTTGGCTCACTGCAACCTCTGCCTCCCTGGTGTTCAAGCGATTCCCCTGCCTCAGCCTCCTGAGTAGCTGAGACTACAGGTGCGCACTAGCGTGCCCTGCTAATTTTTTGTATTTTATTAGAGATGGGTTTTCACCATGTTGGCCAAGGCGGTCTTGATCTCTTGACCTTGTGATGTGGCTGCCTCAGCCTCCCAAAGTGCTGGGATTACAGGCATGAGTCACCATGCTGGGCCTGCTTTTGCATTTTAGTAACACAAATTTGAAAGGTTAACTCTTCAAATTATGAAAGCCTCTAAAATATAAAATTATTTATAATGCCACTGTCCTTTCGGGCTTCTATAGATGAATATACATTTAAAATGTGGGAGTTTAGCTTAATCGATTTGTTTTCCATAGAAACTAGGTTCTCTGAGTAGCTGGTTAGATAGACTTGTTTCACTTACTCCAAGATCTGATTTGTTTGGGACAAACCCACATACATAATCATGTCAGTCTCTTCTCTGCATGACATAATTTTCCAGCAATAGCTGTGTGGTTTTTGTAATCCTGTCCTCTAGCCAGTTCAAGATTTTGCAACACGATGTGATTCTTTGGCCTGTAGTTCAGTGTTGTTGAATATGGCCCAGGTCTTTACCTTCCTGTTCCTGCATCCAGTTTCATTCTAATAATGTTTTCTGTTGAAGAAACTGGCTTTAATTTCTTGAACAAGATGCTGGTATTATCATCTAACATAAAGCCTATTTTATAATAAAATGTTGACTAATGAGCCCTGTACTGAAAGTGAAAAACAGTGGTTGTGTGTGTACGGTTTCTACTGAATATGTATCACTTTTATACCCTCATAAAGTTGAAAAATCATTGAGCTGAATCATCATAAGCTGTGTACGTTCTGTACAGGTTTCCAAGGCTTCACAAGTATTGCACACACATTCCTAGCCAGGTGATAGGGCTATAAGCTGATAGTAGTCTCCCCAGGGGCCAGGAGAAGGACCAGAAATCTCTACTATGGTGTATCATACTCTTGTGGGCCAAGTATAAGGCTGATATTTGATTGTTAGCACTGGGTTTCTGGAATCCAGCCTGTTCACCAGGGAAATTGAATGGGTCACATTTTTCTTCTGAAGGAAGTAACTGAGCTTTAGTTAATTTGTTTTTTTAGGAATGGTAATAATTAAAATTCAATATATATATTTTGAGACAAGAGTTTTGCTCTTGCTGCCTAGGCTGGAGTGCAATTAGCAAAATCTCAGCTCACTGAAACCTCTGCCTCCCACGTTCAAGCGATTCTCCTGCTTCTGCCTCCCAAGTAGCTGGGATGACAGGCGCCCACCACCATGCCTGGCTAATTTTATATTTTTAGAGAGATGGGGTTTCTCCATGTTGGTCAGGTTGGTTTTGAACTCACAACCTTAGGTGATCTGCCTGCCTCAGCCTCCCAAAGTGCTGGGATTACAGGCGTGCATTCAGCCTAAAATTGAATCTTTTAAATGCCATGAATGTGTTTAAGTCAATCCAAGTGTTTAATGAAGATTACACTGTGGCTGGGCACGGTGGCTCATGCCTGTAATCCCAGCAATTTGGGAAGCCGAGTTGGATGGATCACCTGAGGTCGGGAGTTTTAAACCAGCCTGGGCAACATGGCAAAACCTCTTCTCAATTAAAAAATACAAAAATTAGCGTGGTAGTGGGCACCTGTAATCTCAGCTACTCAGGAGGCTGAGGCATGAGAATCATTTGAACCTAGGTGGCAGAGGCCACTGTAAGCTGAGATCACACCACTGCACCCCAGCCTGGGTGACAGAATGAGATTCTGTCTCAAAAGAAAAAAAAAAAGGATCACATCGTATTTCAGTCTCCTTGAGAAATACTAAAATGAGGGCACCAAGAAGTTGCTCAGTGTCATGCTATTCCTAACACCTGGCCAGAAACCCTTGCTCTACTTTCTGTGCAGTCTTGCCATTTAGTTAAACATTTGAAAGTTCTGCACTCCCTACATTTTTTAGCTGAAATTGCTACAGGTTCTTTGTTTTTGTTTTTGTTTTGCCTACAGTTAGTATTTATATTCAAATGCCGAGATTTGCAATTTGGACTTTATGAGCCATGAGAAACCTTCATCAAACCTTGGATCCTAAGGAAATTAGTGCATCTGATAAAAGACCATGAATAAAATTCTGAATATGGGGATCATTTCTCCATAGCGGTCCTGGAGAGAGAAAATGGCAAATTATTTAGGTGGTTCCATTTATTCCCAGATTATAACATGATGTCCAACACTAAAATGATTAGTATCTCCTGTACATATTACTCAGCTGGGTCATTTTCTTTTTCTTTCTTTTTTTTTTTTTTTTTTTTTTTTGAGACAGAATCTTGCTCTTGTTACCCAGGCTGGAGTGCAGTGGCACAATCTCAGCTCACTGCAACCTCTGCCCCCTGGTTTCTAAGCGATTCTCCTGCCTCAGCCTCCCAAGTAGCTGGGACTACAGGCACATGCCACCATGCTCGGCTAATTTTTGTATTTTTACAGAGTTTCACCATGTTGGCCAGGCTTATCTAGAACTCCTGACCTCAGGTGATCACCCTCCTCAGCCTCTCCAAGTGCTGGGATTTTAGGCGTGAGCCACTGCACCGGCCTGGGAACTTCTTTCGATGTCAGTTCCTACACTTTTAAACTTAGGTTGTGCATTTTGGGGGAAGTGGAGATGGAGATCACAGGAAGGATGCCAAATCCTCTCCAAGCCACCTCTTTTCTACTGAATGGAGCAATGGACCTTAGAAACAGAAATGAAATAAAGTGGCTGGACCTGGTGGCTGATGTGTATAATCCCAGCATTTAGGGAGGCGGAGGTGGGCAGATCATCTGAGGTCAGGAGTTTGAGACCAGCCTGGCCAACATGGTGAAACCCTGTCTCTACTGAAAACACAAAAATTGGCCAGGCCTGGTGGTGTACGCCTGTAGTCTCAGCTATTCTGGAGGCTGAAGAAGGAGAATTGCTTGCATCTGGGAAGCAGAGGTTGTAGTGAGCTGAGATTGCGCCACTGAACTCCGGCCCGGACAGCAGAGCGAGACTCTGTCTCAAAAAAAAAGAAAGAAAGAAAATGTAACTGACTGTACCCAGCAAAACAAGGACCACTGAAGCAGTTCTTAAGAGCTAGTAGAGGGCTGGGCATGATCACTTACACCTGTAATCCCAGCC